GGTTTAAGGTTTAGGCCTAATACCGGAAGTAATTTGCCAATGCCGAGATAACAGTACCTCCACCTCTGCCCTCATATTTGCTCCACATAAAAAGCTGGTTTTATGCATTTAAAGGCTTTATCAATTTGGCCTGATACCGTAAAAGATTTCTGTATACGAACCTGCATGTTTACATGATCTGGCACCAGAATTGGTTCTGAAGAAGGGTCTCTGGACCCAAAACATTAACTCTGTTTTCTCTCCACAAATGCCGAGTTTTCCCTGCAATTTCTGATTTTGTAGCTAATCAACTAAGGTCTCATTCAACATTTGAAAAAGTTTGGAATAAATTGTAACTTCAACCTGCTTCAGTTCTAGTTTGGCCAAATCATTAGTTATGAAGATTAAAATGCTTTTGAAGATTCCTGTTACTATTTCTAGTGGCTAATTCCTGTACCTGCACCCCACACCAATCCCAATTATTGCCTCCTACACCCTCTGCTCCAACAACAAATTTGCATTTTCTTTTGCTGGGACGTAAAAGACCCTGCCTGTTCTGATACGTGACCATACCTGCTGCAAGTGCATTCAAATTAGAAATGTAGGAATGTGTGAAACATGTTATCAATGGCAAACTGGGTAGCAAAATTTACAGTGGCAGTCATTGATCTCATCATTCCAGAAAAGCTTGGGTCAATGCATCAGATGATCTGCTCGTATACACAAAAAAAATTCAGCACCTATAAAATTGAAGACAAATATTTCATGTTTTAGAACAAAAATCACATTTAAGGCTTCTTTAATTAAATGATACAACTTTAACTTTGCATATTTTACGTAAAATAATGTTAATGAAAAATATACTGGAACTGAGACCATTAGGTATCTATCCTGAAGCTGTGAAAGTCAGCTAACCACAGTCCCTTGGGTATATCTCCGAATAGCACAGTTAACTGAAATGACTGATGGCTTTTGTATTGTGATTCACATCAGCTGAAGCATATTTAAGTTGTATATCCCAAAGCTAACACACTATTCCCAGTGTAGTAAAACCACATTCAAGCTTTTAGGTGAAAATATTGGAGGATTAAATCTAAGCTCAGTGGCAAAATGGACCACAATTCAGTACCATCAGCCAGTTCAGACAAAACATTGACCAAGACATTTTTTCCAACACAAGCACTGAAAGCTTTCCATTAGCTTTCACCCAGTGAAAAAGTCCCAGTAATGCTGAACAATTAAAAGAAAAACAAGTGTTTATTTTGCACCACTGTCATATTTATACAGATGGTTATCTGGAGCATTTGGTATCATTTAATTATTATCATTTTAAACATGAATGTACATTCAGAAACGACTGTCAAGTGTAAACTACACTGATCCAGTTAACTGAGAATTAATCAGCATAACGGGTAAGCTCAAAAGCTAAAGTTTGTAGAGCCAAGTAGATAACATTCACTATAAAGAGAATTTCAAAACTGTAAGGTACAAGGAACTGCATATTTTGGAAGTTGTAACTTTTCTGATGAATTTATAAACATTATTTTCCACCCAGTCATGGCTAAAAGCCAAGCAGTGAACCAGACAAATACCAGTGTTACCAAACTACTAGCTGCTTTAAAAACATCTATACAGATGTGTAAAGGCAATCGACACAAAGATATATGAAAATGCTGCTGTTAATTTACAATAAAAGGTTACCTCTAAATCCGGAGAGATTTATGCCAGGAAACTTTCTAAAAAATTCATAAAATCTGTTTCACAGATTAATCGTTCACCCATATGAGTAAGTAGTCAAAATGACAAAAGATTTGTTCTTACAGTTGATTAAAAATTTATACCAAAGCATTCAAGTAAAGTTACTTTCTATGTTCTGATTTAATGAAACATTTGAGCACTAGCTGACTTTATGACGCAGTTACAAGACTCACTGAAGCCTTCACTAATATTTGCCTATGTACACTTCCTTGGGATAGTAAAGCTGAAATAATGTGTCAGATTGAAGCAATATCAAGTTAAAGAAATGCAATGCTGAGGATTCATGAAGTTACCTCATGGCATATTTTGACCTGCAAATATTTAATAAGTACTTCATTGCTGCAGAAGTTCCACTGAGCCAGCAGGCTGAAGGGGAAGCACAGTGCACCTTGTAATAAGATTTTTAAAACATTGTAATTGAATTTGAATTATGTAACTAGGTGTTCTGAAGAATCATTGGACTCAAAACGTTAACTCTGTTTTCTCCCTACAGACACTGTGCTAGCAATTTCTGTTTTTGTTAATTAAGTCTGTCAATGACTTCAACGTTGAAGGAATATTTAAAAAGAAATAAATCATCCCAATTGCCGCCATCTCAATCCCTCAATTAAATTTCAGCTCACTTTAAACTTTCCTCTCAGCTAAAAATTTCCATTCATGCCAACATCTACATAAAATTCCACTGTAACCTTTCCAGTACCACCAAATCCATCCTGTAGAAAACTCAGAATATTCCAGTTGTGGCCAAACTAGTTTTGTATACAGTTCTAGCATAATTACCCCTGCTCTTCACCTTGGCTATTAATTTCTTATTTATTTTTCAAACCTGTTTCATGGAACTTGTCTCCAAAGTTACTCTGTGCCTTTACACTTCTCAAAATGCTAGCATTTATAAAGTACTCCCCTGTCTTGTTTGCCCTTTCCAAATGCATTTTCTTACATTTCTTTGGACCGAATTCTATGTGACAATTTCCTATTTACCTGATCAATTTACTGATATCTTCCCACAGGGTACAGCTTTCTTGCTCACCTTCAACCACACAAGCCAAAATTTTTAATCATTTGCAAAAATCATAATCATCTCCCCTATATTCATTTTTAATTGTTGACACATGCCACAAAAAAAGCAAGGAAACTGAGACTGTTTCTCATGGAACCACGCTACAAATAGCAGAGATTTAAAAAAAATTACATTTGCCACTTGCCCTTAGATTCTATGGGTTCTCAATTTTTCTGAGCAGCCTCACATCAGAAACCTGGTCAAAATCCATGCAAGCTACATTAAACGTATTATTCTTATTGCACCTCCATAAAGTTAGTAAGTCATAACTTCCAAATAATAAATCCATGCTGACTTTTCCCAATTAATCCAAACCTTAAATGACTTAAGAAGAAATCATCCAATGATAATGAGTGTAACTGGCTGAGCCAGTTTTATTGCCCATCCCTAGTTACTCTGGAGAAGCTGGGAGGTAACGAGCTGCTTTTTGGACTGCTTCTATCTGTTTTGTATAGATAAACCACGTTGTGACTAGAGTGGGAGTTCCAGGATTTTAATCCAGGATCACAAACAGTAGCAATATATTTCCAAGTCAGAATGGCGAGTGGCTGGAGGAAATCTTGCAGATGGCAATATTCCCATGTATCCACTGCTCTTGTCTTCTAGATGGCTGTAGATTTGAAGGGTGTTGTCCAAGGAGTTTTAGTGACTTTCTACAGTGCACCTTGCAAATGGTACACATTGTTGCTACTGAGTGGTGAAGGGACTGAATGTTCGTGGGTGTGGTGCCAATCAAGCAGGTTACTTTGTCCCAAATGGTCTCAAGCTTGAGTGTTGTTGGAGCTGCACTTTCCAGGCAAGAGGGGAGTATTCCAATACACTCCTGCCTTGTACCTTATAGATAGTGGACAAGCTTTGAGGTCTCAGGAGGTATGTTACTTGCTGCAGGATTCCTTGCCCATGACCTGATCTTATAATCACAATATTATATGGCTAGTCCAGTTCAGTTTCTGGTCCATGACAATTCCGGATGTTGATAGCACGGTTTCAGTGATGATAACGCCAATTGAATGTCATAGGGCAATGATAATGGGCTTGTCACTTATGTTGCTCGAATGTTCCTTGCCATTAACTAGCCCAAACCCGAATATTGTCTAAGTCTTGCTGCATTTGGACATGAACTGTTTTAGTAACTGAAAAGTCACAAATGGGACTGAACGTTGTACAATCAGCAGACATCGCCACTTCTGACTGTATAACGGAGGAAAAGTCATTGTGAAGCATCTGAAGACAGTTGAACCTCGAACACTACCTTGAAGAACTTCTGCATGGATGAGCTGAGCATTAATGACTGAGCACAACCGTTGCTCTTTGTGCCAGGTACGAATCTAACTAGCAAATAGTTTCCCTCCAGATTTCCATTGACTGCAGTTTTTCTAGGATTCCTTGATACCAGACTCAGTCAAATGCAGCCTTGATATTAAGGGCAGTCACCATTACCTTACCTCATCACCTGTATGCCTTGCTTCAGAATTTATCTCCAACAATTTGTCACCAAAGTTGGGCTGGCTTGTAATTATTTGATCTCCCCTTCATCCCTTTTTAAAAAGGATGATGCTATAGAGACTGCTAATATTGTAAGAAAAAATTAGAAAATTATGATCAGCAGTTTACCCATTTCTTCCCTCGTTTCTTAGTAGCTGGGATACATTTCATCTGGACATTTCATCCACTTTCAAAGATGTTAAATCTGTTAATATTTCCTCTCACACGAGATTATCCCATTCTTTCTCCCTTAACTATAGTATTTGCATTATCCCCTCCTCGGAGAAGACAGATGCAAAGTATTCATTAAGAATCATGCCTATATGTTCTGCCTCCACACAGAACAAGTGTTTTGGAGGACGGGAGAGCATGGCAGGTACAGACTAATAATTGATCATGAAGAAAAAGAAAGAATATCAATGCTGCAAAACTGTCTACAGGCATATACATGCTGTTACATGACCACATTTTCCCAAACACATCATGCAACATGCCATTTCTTCTAATTTCTTGTTGCATTGAGATCAAGACTCATCTCTTTCCAAGGACCTCATAACACAGTTATCTGTTTCTATATCCTTAATTGTAGTGTTCCGGCTTTTTAACAAATGTTTGGACCATACTACTTATGGCCTCTTGATTTAACAAATTCTCATTTGGCCTTTTCAAGAGCCTTTTGCTTTAACTTCTGAACAAAAATAAACTTATTAATACTTACACTGAAAGCAGCACAACTGCAATTAAAGTCCATTCTGGAATTTTGTGAATGATGTTTGTATTAGTTAGCCTGAAAAACAAAGCGAGAGAACAATCAGATAAAAGAGGCAAAGTTAAAAGTAGGGGGAGGCGGAGGCATAGTGGTCCATTGCAGTGTAGTTGACACTTAACCACCCTCTGAATTGCCTTACAAACCACCCAGTTCAGTGCAATTAGGTGCAGGTAATAAATGCTGGCCTTAATAGTGACACCTACACCCAATGAAAAAGTAATTTAAAAGTTGTCACACACCCTTCCTTTATTACATAATTCTTCAACTCATGACTTTTTCACCCCACAATCCCTGGTCCAGAATAGGCACGAGTACCTTTTTCTAGTCAGGTAACTATGCCCCTGCCCATACTGCCCACTAACTAGTTACAGTGCAGATGGACAAAGGCATCTTAGGGTGGACTTTGTTTTTACCTTTGTCACTTTAGTAAAGCAGAGATGAAAATGTTATGTTGTGAAACAATGGATTACCATTGACGATTTACTGAATGCTGTCAAAACACTGTTCAAGTGCCTTCTTCAACACATTTATTACTTTCAAAAAGTAAAGTAAATGGATAGTACCAGAAACCATGGAAAAGAGCAGGAGCTAAGAAGGTGACGGACTAGGGAAAAAAGGGAAGGTTAGACAGCAGGCAAGATTAGAGACCACAGGTGGCACCAGACCAAGTATTAGATTTCCTATGAATGCACGGGAAGATCCCAACGCAGAGAAAGGAGGTGCTGGGGGTGATAGAAGAATGACCATGGCGTCACAATGGGAATGGTCCCTTTGGGATTGGGTATGGAAGGTGTGTTTTTGTGGTGGCATCGTGCTGGAGGTAACAGAAGTGGCAGAGGATGATCCTTTGAATATGGACACTTGGAGTGGAAAGTGACAAGAAGAGATGCCATATTGCAGTTCTGGGAGAAATGGACAGGGGCCAACAGAAGAAGTGCAGAAAATACAGTGGGCACAATTGAGGACCATAGTTGGGAGGAATCTGGAAGACATGCTGATAGCTAGCATCATTGGAACAGATAAAATGCCCTAAGTCTGCTATAGTGTTAGCTGCTGGAGGAATAACATTTCATTTTTGGCACTTTACACATCTCACTCTTCTAAACTCCAGTGGATATGTGTCTAGCCTGCTGAACATTTTGTTATAAGACCACCTCCTCATCCCCCTATTCCAGATATTAGTCTAGTAAACCTTCTCTGGACTGCTTCCAATAAATTTACATCCTCTTTAAAGCCCCTTGAGCTCGTTAAATCAAGCGGGTTTTTTATTCTTTATTCTTTATTCATTCATGTGATGCAGGCATCGCTGGCTACGCAGCATTTATTGCCCATTCCTAATTGCCCAGAGAGTAATTCCACCACTATTTGAATTCAACAAATATCTGGAATTAAGAATCTAATGATGACCACGAATCCATTGCCAATTGTTGGAAAACACATCTGGTTCACTAATGCCCTGTAGGGAAGGAAACTGCCATCCTTACCTGGTCTGGCCTAGATATGTCCCCTGACCCGCAGCAATGTGACTGACTCTTAACTGTTCTCTGGGCAATTAGGGATGGGCAATAAATGCTGCCTAGCCAGCAATGCCCGCATCCCATGAATGAAGAACGAATAAAAAACCCTTCCTTATTTAAGGACCTCGATAGTATGTATAGTACTCCTGTGGTTTCACCATATAACTGAAATATAACCCCCTACTTTTGTATTCAATTCCCTTTGCGATAAGTGATAACATTCTATTAGCTTTCCTAATTACTTGCTATACCTGCATACAAGCCTTTTTCAATTTATATACTAGCACACCCAGATTCCTCCACATCTGAACTCTGCAATCTCTTACCATTTAAAAAAATACTTTTTTTTATTCTACCTAGCAAAGTGAACAATCTCATATTATGCTCCATCTGTCAGATCTTTGCCTGCTCACTTCACCTAGATCCCTTCGCAGCCTCCTATGTCCCCTTAAAATTTACTTGTCTAGCTCTATCATCAGCAAATTTAGCAACAATACCAAGAGCTTCAAAGTCACTTGTGTACTTTGTAAAATATTGAGGTCCCCCCAGCATTGATCCATATGACAGATCACTTGTTACATCTTGTCCAAGAGAAAATGATCCATTTATGCGTACTGTCCTGTTAGCTAGCCGATCTACTATCTGTACCAACACATTAACCCCTTCACCATGAGTTTTTATTTTCCGTATTAACCTTTGATGTATCTTTTGGAAATCCAAGTACTACATCCATTGACCCTCTTTTATCCATAACATATACTATTTCTTCAACCAATACTAAGAAATTGATTTAACATGATTTCCTTTTCAGAAAGCCATGCTGACTCTGATGAATTGCCTTGAACTTATCTGAATTGCTGGCTACAATAATAGCTTCCAACATTTTCCCCAAGACAGACGTTAAGCTTGTTGGCCATAGTTTCCTTCTTTCCTCCTCCCTCTCTTAATTTCCAATTAAATTATGTAGTTCAAAATGAGCAGTAGGAGTGCTTGTGAAATCTCAACAACTACAACAGGTTGTGGTCCTTCTGGAGACAATGCAGAAGGTAAAAAAGAACAGGGATCAAATTATTTCTCTAAACACATCCTTTTTACTCCCTTTCCTATCTTTATCTTCTTTCTTTAAGTATTAGCGGAAGATGCCTGATTGACTGTGAGGAACAAACTTAGCCCAGTGCTGAGTTGATGACGAAGACTTCTGTCTAAAGCAAGTTGTCAGCAACAGTTAAGTGTTAAATTAAATTTCCAATTTAATTCAGAAACAGAATTTCTTAAATCAGGAAATGATGGAGTGGAGGGAGGGAGAGCGAGAGCGAGAGCCTTGGAGTAACATCACCAGGGAAGTGGTATTGTGAAAATTGAAGCTATGGATTGTCGAGTCCCTGGGTCTTGATGGACTTCATCATGTAATGTTAAAAGAAGTGACTAGTGAGAAAGATGATGGATTGATTCCACTTTTCCAAAATCCCTTTGATTCAAGGAAGGTGGAATTAAATTGGAAGTTTAATTTAACACTCAACTGTTGCTGACAACTTGCTTTAGACAAAAGTCTTCGTCATCAACTCAGCACTGGGTTAAGGTTGTTCCTCACAGTCAATCAGGCATCTTCCACTAATACTTAAAGAAAGAAGATAAAGATAGGAAAGGGAGTAAAAAGGATGTGTTCAGAGAAATAATTTGATCCCTGTTCTTTTTTACCTTCTACGTTCTCTCCAGAAAGACCACAACCTGTTGTACTTGTTGAGATTTCACAAGCACTCCTACTGCTCATTTTGAACTACATATTGATAGGCAAATGCAGATAGGTGGATTAAGCTCCATACTAGCTCATTCTAGGATTGTGGATACTAGCAGTAGGTGAAATAATCTAATCCACATTTATTACCATCACTTGTAGTGCAACTATTGAGCAGTTGTGTGGCATACTGATAGTGTTGCTGCCTCTGGTCCAGAAATTCCACTTTAGAACTTGATAGGGATGGAAGGTGCATTCATAACATGGCCAAAGAGGTTTATTACAAGCTTGTAAGTCATACATTATGCTTGGTGGCATTCAATAAGAGCTGCAGAGTTTCATGACCAGCCATATTGCACAAGGCAACGGCAAATCACTGCAGTGCGCAATGGCGAGCCACTGATATACTTTACCAAGCAAAGTTATGGACAAATCCAATTAAATCCATGGCTACCAATATCCTCTCGTGCATTAGTACCTGAAGTAGGAAGAGGAATGAAGCTGTAAAATAATACACCTGTAAAGAAAATATCCCTTTATGCTGTATGAATTTGGCTTATTCCAATTGCAAAAATTAATCTGTTATTAACAGCAAAACATTTGCCTTTCGCGTGTTAGTATATTTTACAACAATTTTTTTTTGCTTTGTACACTATTATAATGCTAACTTTCAAAACACTTACTTTTCACTCTATATCAAGTGGGTGCACTATCCCTTTGAGAATTTTATAATTGTGGCGGAAAGTGTTTGATTTATATCAATATTATTTATGGAGCCAAGATTTTAAAATAAACGGCATTTTGGAGATAGTTTTTTTTTAACCTTTCAGAGAAGTAACTAGCTCAGATAGCCCTTCCAGATCAGTGATCTAATCCAGTATGCATCACCGAGCAGAAACCCTGGAATGTGAATGCAAAATGATTTTTACTGTGATGGTATATGACAGATGGAGTGAACACTGATGCCCATTACTTTGTTTTTGGCTCAAGATAATCAAGAATTGATTTAGCTACAGAAACACAGAGATTGAAAGTTTCAGGGCAGTTGTGGAGACCAGAGCTGAGAGAGCCTAATTTCTCAGTTTTGAGAGTACTTATGTAAGATGACCACATAGTTCATAGAAAGAACTGAGGAGAATCAGTTAAGCCAAACTTGGAGATCTGCTATGGAGGCGTAATTTCTTCATATTTGAATTTCTGTAACTGATAGTGTGAGAAAAGGAATGTGATTTTGCTTTCCTGCATTTTATAACACAAAACTCAGTTTGAAAGCTGTTTAGATGAAAACCAAAAGAACTGTGGATACTGTAAATCAGGAACAAAAACAGAAGTTGCTGGAAAAGCTCAGCAGGTCTGGCAGCATTTGCAAAGAAAAATCTAAGTTAACGTTTCGGGTCCGGTGACCCTTCCTCAGAACTATTTTTTGTTCTATGTTTAGACAGCTTCATTTGTTATATTTTCCTTTTGGCAATATTCTGTTGTTTAAAAAAAAAAAACTACATTGCATTGAATGACTAGCACATTAACCAAAATTTTTAAAAATATATCAAGTCTGATTTCATTCTGTGACCTAACTTGCCCAGTACTACCCTCAGCTAGGATCATAACATAACATGCATATGCTCCAAAGACTCTTCCTCGCCCATACTCAATTTGACTTATTCTATGACCTCAGAAGTAATAATGAGAGTCCAAGAATGGCAAATCCAGCATGAACATAATTAAAATTTTAAATGTTCCTGGCTTGAGTCATACTTGAATTTGACACTATTTCCATGACATCAAGTGTTTTTGCCTGAAATTTCTAAAATGAGCAGTTGGTCCCAAGCCTAGGGCAAGGTTCCACGGGCAAACATCAAGCCAAACAGATGACGGAATCATTTTGACAGGCAGTTCAAATGTAACATTCTTGCTAATCTGCTGTGAAATACAACGGAAAAACAACAGCTTAAATTCACCTGGGGAACTAGCAAAATACCAATGAAAGCATTTTTATTTTTGTGCGCTACAAGGATCCATTATTGATCAGAGCATTGGGAAGCTTCATTGTCCTATATAAACTAAGGGATGCAGTTATTTATTTAAATTAACTGGGTCTGTTTATATTGACTGCCAACAACCTAACTCCCAGGATATTGCCATCAAGAAGCAGTTTACAAATCAAACAGTGTGAGGAGTTGATTGACTTGTTCAAGTACATTCATATAGATCTCTTGGTGCATTAATATCACCAGGCTGTTCAATGACTATGCAGTCAAGCTTCTCCAAACAGAAACCTTTTGCTCAGTCACCAGTCCCAAAGCAACTGCCTGTCAAGGTGCAATCATCTTCTTATAACTATATTAAAAGGAGGGCTAAAAGCATTGAACTTCTCGGTGTGGCACGTTTATCTATGCAGGAGCAAACAAAGGTCAATCACTTTTAAAGCAAGCTGCACCCGAGGGTCAGATTCTCAGATGAACAAAGTTTTCAGTGCAGGGACAAGTACAATATCACCAATAACAGTGATCCGTTAATTCTAGACTTCAGTTATGGTTAACTGTAATAGCACTAATGTTGTCACCTGAAAAAACAACAAACATTTCTGGAGGAAAAGGGAAGGCCATCATAAAACAGAATCATTATTTGAGATGATGGTAACAGGAGTGACTTGTAATAAGAAGATCATCACAAAATTGTGGTGTCAATGGTAGACATGATGTGGAGGTGCCAGTGTTGGACTGGGGTGGACAAGGTCAGAAGTCAGACGACAACAGGTTATAGTCCAACAGGTTTATTTGAATTCACAAGCTTTCACCTGATGAAGGGGCAAAGCTCCAAAAGCTTGTTATTTCAAATAAACCTGTTGGATTCTCACCGGGTGTCATCTGACTTCTGACCTTATCACAAAATTGCATTAACTATCATTTCAACTGTCAAGACGTTTGCACGTGGGGGGAAACCTCAATTTAAACTTGCTTTCATTAGTTAGCTTTTCATAAATGTTTTTAAACCAATGATGTTAAGTAACACAAAATGCCAAGATGTTTCCCATTCTTCAGAAAAAGATAACTCATTTATAGAATGATATTGACTTGAGCAGTATTATCAGCTGGGTTCCTAATACCACACACACACTTCTGCAACTCTTCCTCACCTATACTGAACTGGTCACAAGACCACTCAGGACTTTATGGCTTATTTCAGTTCTTTCAAACAGATATCTAGTTGAGTCCTATTCAGTTGCTCTGATTCATAACATTGCACTTTTTTGCCTTTAAGTATTATCAAATTCCTTACCATCACCCAGCTCCATTTCAATATCACCTTTCTTGGCCCTTTCACTATCTCTTAATTGACCCAGTACTTTTCCAATATCCAGTACTAGATGAGCTGAAACTCCATCAACTAATTATTGGGAACACCACAGTCCATTTTTGGCAACTGTCGTAACCTTTGCTCCCAAGCCACCAATTCCATCTCTTGCCCTGGCAACTGTCTGAGGCCCAACGTAAGTGTTCAAAACCTTGGTGTCATAACCTAGGGACAAGCTTCCAATTATTTACTCATGCCATCATTAAGACCATCTTCTTGCAGCTTTCTAACAGTGCCCAACTTCATCCCAGCCGGAGCTTATCAGCCTGAGCTGAAATATGCATCCATCCTTTGGTTATCTTGAGACTTTGTTATTTTAATGCACTGCTCTATGGCCCTACAGATTTCATAGGCTTCAGCTGATTTGAACATTTGCTGCCTGAACCACACTTCAAGTTCACCTAACACCCTTATGCTCACTAACCCATTTAAGCAAAGTTTGATTTTAAAATTCTCAGGCTTGATTCCAAAACCCTTCATGGTTCACTAAATTTAAAACTTTAAACACAGTATTTTGATTGAACACTGATTCAAATAATCACACTGCTATGAACATAAGAATTAGGGTGAGTTGGCACGCCCCTGGCCTACTCCGCTATACAACAAGATCATGACTATTTTACTGTGGTCTCAACTTCACATTTCTGCCTAGCTCCAATAACCCTCAACTGCCTTGATAGCCACAAATCTATCTAGCTGTGCCTTAAAATTATTCAATAACATGTTTTAACAAAATAATGCCTTTAATATACTTAAGCCAAAAATAAGCCAGTACAGATTTCCTCAAAGAACGAGATCAGATGCTGGAGTGTTCATTTACTCATGTGAATACGTAGAAACTTAAATGGGCAAGCCACATTAATACACTGGTTACAACAGATCAGGGGCTCATTTTGTAGAAAGTAACTAATTCCCTACAAATCAGGCGTGTGATGGAGTACATTCCATTTCTCTGGAGGTTGAAGCTCCACCAACAGTTGAGAAGCTTGACACTACCCAGGACAAAGCAGCATGATTGATCTACATCCTATTCTCCGCTTAAACTATTCACCTTCTTCATCCCCAACTGCCATGTTGCAGTAAATTATACCTACAAAAGGCACTGCAGCAACTCACTAAGACCTTTGATTGCACCTTCTAAATCCATTACATCTACTCACTAGAAGGACAAGGGCAAAGGTACAAGGAAACACAAACACCTGCAAATTACCCTCCATGCATCATTTTGACACAAAAACCTATTGCCATTAGGTCAAAACCCCGAAACACGCCACCTAACAGCACGCTGGGCATTCTAATACTACAATGATTGTTGCAGTTTAAGATGGTGCTCACCACCAGCTTCTCAAGGGCAATTAATGCTGACCTTGCCAGCTTATATCTCATGAGCAAGTAACAAAAAACAATGTAGTTTTGATGTTGTAGCAACAAAATAAAAAAGTAATTGTTAAAATGCTACAAAGAACAAAACAGCATAGGAACAGGCCCTTTGGCTCACCATGATGCCATTCTAACTAAAAACATTTTTGCCGCTATGTGGTCCCTATCCCTCTACTTATGCCTATTCATCTATCAGTCAAGCAACCTTTTAAATATTACTATTGAATCTGCTTCTACAACCTCATACGGCAGCACATTACAAGCATTTACCAACCTCTGGAAAAAAAAAACCTGCCTTTCACATCTCCTTTAAACTTATCCCCTTTCACTTTAAGCCTATGTTCCCTAGTAATTGACATTTCTACCCTGGGACAAAGACGGATTATCCAATCTACCCACACCTCTCAATTTTGTAAACTTCTATTAGGTCACCCCTCAGCCTCCGACTTTCACGTGAAAACAATCCAAGTTTGTCCGATCGCTCCTCATAGCTAATACCCTCCAAGCCACGTAACATCCTGGTAAATCTCTTCTGCACCCTCTCCAAAGCCTCTAAATCCTTTTAGTATTTTGGTGACCAGAACTGTACACAATATTAAAAATGTGACCTAACTAAAGCTCTATACTGCTGCAATGGGAGTTCCCAATTTTAACATTGTGGCCCGACCGATGAAGGCAAGTACGTCATATGCCTTTTTGACCATCTTATCCCCTTGTGTTGCCACTTTCAGGGAACTGTGGACCTGTATGCCTAGATCCCTCTGTATGTTAATGCTTTTTATGGGTTCTGCCATTTACCGTATTCTTCCTGCCTGCATTAGACCTTCCAACGTGCATCACCTCACAAATGAAGGATCTGTTTCTGCGCTGTATAATTCTATGACTATGTCCAGATTAAATTCCATCTGCCATTTCTTTTCACCTTCTGTATCAGCCTGCCAGGATACATATTAACTGCATATAAATTAGGTTATGAAATAATTAGGATAGGACTAGTGCATGAAACCAACTGCATTCAATTTTAGGTGGTCATGTTAGTCATTGCATTATAAGTCACATTTTTTACTTTCACAATTGAGAAGAAAATGGACTGGAATAAGTAAGTTATTTTTCACAGAGATAGCAATCACCACCTAAAATAGACATGCAGAAAGAGTGATGGGGGCAGGAACTGCAACATTTAAAAATCATCTCCTCCTGCTCCTCCTCCCTCCACCCCAGCCAAAAAGAAAGACTGTTTTGGGAGCAAGAACTAATAGGAGGTCAAACGGTTTTCCTAATTACCAGTCATCTTGTGATGACTTCAAGGATATGCATCCATGTGTTTGCACATAGGAGAGAGAAGCATGACAGGAGAGGGAGAAGTTTATAGTCAATGACAGCTGGGAGATGGGGTGTATGGAACTGATGAAAATGAGGAGTTGTGGGGTCAAAATAAAGAGGCCCCTGCTTAATGCATGGAGATGCAAGCACACATACAATTTGTGATGTGAATCACTAACCTGAATGTTTTTACAAGAGAATTTAGTTCGCAGGATACATCAGACATGCCAAGTTGTAGTGATCCCAATAACTCCGGTAAACTAGAAATGAAAAACAATTAATCTTATACAATTGTCAAATCTTTTGACCGTTCTGTTTGGGAGATCCAGATTAATGAAGCTTATTTTACTGCAGCACATGACATTCTTCTACTTTGGGATGGATATGCAAAACATTGGCCAGGCCATCTACTTTAAACAAAAACAGGAACATCAACGTTCTCCCAATGTTATTTCAAAAATTGTGACCAACTTCAATCTGTCTGGGAATGCTGCAAAATTAATAAATATTCATTTCAATTATTTCCTGTTCAGTTTTGGGCATTTTCTAGTTGTGACTGAATGCAGGCAACTGAAAAGAAAGCAAACTTTGAATATTAGAATTTAATTTCTTTCCAGGATGTGGTTTGCTGAGCACATTGCATTGCTTTGTGCATTGTCACCCTAAAAGAATCTATAAGTACCATCATCAAAAAAAAATACAAGCAACTGCTGTTGGTTACTACATTCAGACTAAAGGAATGATGAGACAGTAAGACAGTTAATTATTGTTATGATCTCTGGACATTAGAAGGCAGTTATATTTTAAACTAACTTCATTAATACAAGGTGAAATAGAATAGTTTGGAGAAGAGTGAAAACCTTAAAAATCTTACCTGACACAAAATCTTTGTGACCTGGTTGTCACAGACAACCATAAGAAATAGAACAGGAGTAGATCATTTGATCACTCAAGCCTGCTCCACCATTTAATAGACTCATGGCTGATCCCACATTCCTCACATCTACTTTCCTGTTTTTTCCCCATAACTCTTGATTCCCCTACTGATCAAGATTCCACCTTTGGAACTCCTTACCTTGAGGCTCATATTCCGCCTTGACAGCCTACAACCCAATGGTCTCAATGTGGACTTTACCAGTTTCAAATTCTCCCCAACCCCGGCCTCATCCCATGGCCAACCCTCCCTCTCATACCCACCTCCTTGATCTGACACAACATGTCCATCTTCTCTCCCACCTATCCTCTCCTCCCACCTCACTGACCAATCCACAACTCTGCCTACCTGCACTCACCTATCACCATCCCACCTAACTTTCCCAGCCCCACCCCTCTTCCCTATTTATTTCAGAGCTCCCTTCCCCCTCCCCCATTTCTGAAAAAGGGTCCCAACCCAAAACGTCAACTTTCCTGCTCCGATCCTCCAGCTCCACACTGTTACACCTGAGAGTTATCTTTGTGTTTCATGCACAAGTACCCCAAGTCCCTTTGTGTTAGCTTTCTGCTATTTTCTCCATTTAACTAGTTCCCAGTATTTTGTTCTTCCTTCCAAAATGAACAACTTCATATTTCTCCACATTGTTGTCCGTTTGCCAACTTTTTACCCACTTGCTTAACCTATCAATATCTCTCTGTAAACTGTTTGTATCCCTCAAGCAACCTGTCTTTCCATCTCTTTCATCTGCTAATTTCACTAGAGTACATTCACTTCCTTCCTCCAAGTCATCAATATATATTGTAAACAGTTACAGTTCCAGCACTGATCTGTGGAACCCCACTGGTTACAGTTTACTTACCTGAAAAACAATTTTTATTCCCACTTGCTGTTTCCTGTCCATTAGCCAATTCTTTATCCATTCCAATATACCACCTCTAATACTGTGGGCTCTTATCTTATGACTTGACCTATTGTGAGGTACCTTATCAAACACCTTCTTAGAGTCCAAATATAGCACATCTACTGGTTTCCCTGTAATTCCTCTGGTCGAGACTTCCTCAAAAAACTCTAATAAGTTAGTCAGGCACAATTTCCCTTTCCTGAAGCCGTGCTGACTCTGCTTGATTAGGTGATGATTTTCCAAATGTTCTGCTTTTACTTTCTTAAATTATTGATTTCAATACCTTTCCAACAATATATGTTAGACTAATAAGCTTATTGATAGCTGCTTTTTGCCTCCCTCCCTTTTTGAATATGGGCGTCACATTAGGAGTTTTCCAATCCTTTCGTGCTTCTCCAGAATTTAATATTTTTGAAAAATTACAACCAATGCATCGACCATCTCTGTAGCTACCATTTAAGATCTTAGTTTGCAAGCCATCAGGGCCAGGGGACTTTTCTGCCTTTAGCCCCATTAATTTGTCTAATACTACTAATACTTCCTCCTTGTATTCTTCAATGTTAATGTAATGTTCAAAGTATCTTCAACTATAAAGACGGATGTGATATACCTGTTTAACTCCTCTGCTACTTGCAAGTTCCAAACCTGTTTCCCCAAATTCATCTTTTTAGGGGTCTATGTTCACTTCAAACTGTCTTTTCCTTTTTATATGCATAAAGAAAGGAACTCTTATTGTCAATTTTTATATCCCTTGCAAGTTTGCCCTCAATTTATTTTCTCTCATTTTATTATCTTTTTAGACTTCCTTTGAAAAAAAAAAGGTTCGGGTCAAAACTCATTGAAAGTAAAAGTGCAGGCTTTAAACCCTGGATATAAAGAGGAGACAGCTGATCTCGCTGCACTGACACTCAAAGTGTCAGTCAGGCAGAAAGATTTGGGAAAACTGAGCAAAAACCAGTGATTCCATGCCAAGCAGGGGGGAAAAAAAAGGACTGTTTTTGTGTTAACCACCAAGCAGTGTTCTAATGAGTTTAGATTCCCTGTTTGAAGAGGCAAGTGAAGATTTAAAGAGTAAGTCCATCTGATTGTGTTGGGAGGATTAAAGGAGGGGATTTAGTTTTGAAAGTACTCCGGACAATCTTCTGGGTGAGGCAGGAAAAGAGAGCCCATTAAAAATTGCTGGGAGCACTTCTGGACTTTATCAGAAAGCTACATATATGAGAGTATGGAGTCACACATAAGCAAGGCATGGGGCTTGTGGTTGGGTTAATGGGGAAAATACCATTTCTGTAGTTTAGTGCATTTCTTGCTCACTGAGTAATGTTTAATTGATGTCGACTTTAGTTTCTTGTCAAAGTAAGTGTCTTAAAATGTGAAATATTTCCTAATGATTTCAGTTGGTTGCTGGGAAAGTCATACCTCATTTTAAATTTGGGCATTACACTGGGGTAATTTCCACTTGGGTGAAACTGTTAAAAAATTGTGGTCTCTTCAATGTTTCTGCTCAAATCTCAATCACTAGATGCAAAATTGTCTAGTAACTAGTGCAATTAGATGGTGTGATAGAAGTTAGTTTGTTTTGAAACATGCTTTATACATATTTTAAAAAATGGCGGTATAATTTAAGAATGGTAACCATGTATCGTTTCATGAATACAGTTGAAAACGAGTTTATCACAAAAGAAACAACCACTTTTACCATATTCACTACTGGCAAACAATCCAAATTTAAATGACTAAAAAGTCTTAAAATTTAAGAATCCAATTTCCTAGATATATTGGGTGTTGCAGTGACTTGAAATAAAAGTACTTTTAAAAATTTTATTAGTGGTCTTGCATCAAAAGGAATAACTTACTTTTTAGAGCCTACTCAAAGGCATGCAAATGCTAGAATACTGGTAATTCCCAATGGAGATTAACTTGTCCTGGCCTATGACCAGCCTTGCAGTCAGGTTTTGCTTCTAATGTAATGTTAATTTAAACTAGAACAGTAAAACTGAATGTGATTCATATTTCTGCAATGTTAAAACAAGTCAAGTTGCCATAGTCACAGAAGGCCATACGACTGCTCTCTCATTACAGACCCAACTGGTGGCGAGTTTAACCTGAAGTTCAGCATGGTTCAAGCAATGAACAAAGTTGAGATGGCTGGGCCTTCATGGTAATCTCAGCCAGTACAGAAATTGAGCCTATGCTGTTGGTGTCACTCTGCATCGCATCCAACCAACTGAGCTAACCAAAGACCCCCATTCTGCAATGTAACTTGCTTGGAGAAAGATGTGTAAAATTTCATTATTGTTTAAGTCAATTATGCTAACTTCTGCCTAATTAGTCCAAAAATCAGCACAAACAAGCAGCAACTCCAAGTTATTGTGTTTTGCACAGAGGAAAAACTACGAATTCCAGGAGAGTTAAGACAAAAAAAAACAAAATTTAAAGTTAACATCTGTTGCAGGAAAGATCTGTTTAAGATCAACACATTTGGAAGACAACCATTTTTGATTGAAAATAAAGTGTGGCTTGGAAGTAGAAAAATCTGAGACAATAAACAGAAAGGGCTCTCTATCCTTTTCATTCTCTTTGTATAAAATGTTTTATTAAATGGCATAAAAATGCATACTTATACTAGTACATATAAATGCTACCATATTGTACAATGTCCCTATGAAAACACCAGTCGAGTGATGGAATTTCACCTTGAAAATTTAAACATGCAAACTCAAATGGAAAGCTGAAGAGATAAAAATGTTTCAAGTGTCATTTGTTTTTGTATTTTCATTACTATGGCCCTTGCTATATCATTTTTCTTCCAAAAATTAATTGGCCAAGAATACAAGATTAGAAATCAGCTTGAAAGTTATTTATAGTAACTGCTAACTGAGAAGATAAACCAAGGAGATCACGGGATCTAGGTGGCTAATAATAATCACCTGTTAATAGAACTATACTTACACTTTGTGAAGTCTATCCAGCACAATCTGTTTGCGGATCTGTTGCTGTGCAGCAAAATCCAACAATGGAAGAACTGGATCCTCCCCTTCATTTCCCTAAATTCCAAATAAAGATACTCTTTACACCAAGTTAATTCAACACTTATAAGGCTGAAGGTTTGGCAATATAGTAATTCATACATTCCCTTGTACCTTTGGAAAGGGAGCTCAAATTAGGCCTAGATAAATGGAACAAATGAAAAAAGCCTACAGAAGGAATACTATCTTCAAAGTTTTTACAGATACTTATTCCTATTACTCAAAATTTGAGCCTACTCAAAATTAGGATTCGGTGTTTAACATCAGAAAAATTTGTTACAGTCAAATGTGTTATTGTACCACAAATAGGAACAGTTGTTGCAAACATTTAGTTCATAACTTGTATGTTTTAGAATATAACTTTTAGCTTTAGAAGTGTATATGAATGTAGATAAATGGGGACATCTGACGGAGAAACTGGAATGCACAACTCTAAATGCAGTTCAAACAAG